TTTTTTTTTCAGTTGTTTTCTTGATGGGGTTTTAGGGAGGAATGATAAACCCTAAGAAGTAAAAGTTTTCAATTTAGTTCTTCTGATTTTCTTTTAAATTTTTGGTTTAAAGTTGCCTTCTTGTCTTGGTGTTCGTGTTCTACAGTTGTGGATAAATCTTTGAAGGAGCCAAAAAACCAGGATTCTTTTTTGTTTTTGTGTAGAAAAAATGGCAAGTCTTGAAGTGGATGAGAGTGGAGTAAGGTTTTCTGCTAATGGTTTTGCTGTAACCAAGAAAGTTGTTGAGACTGAAACAGTTGCAGAGTCTGTTATTGATAGCAGCCCTGTTTTTGTTACTATGGAGAAAGAAGAAAAGGGTGTGTGTGTTAATGATGTTGTAATGGGGTTTCCAGTTAATCTGAATGGTGTTGTGAACAAAACTGGAAATTTGAAAGAAGGTAAGAAAAAGGGTGCTGCTGAAGCTAATCTTGATGCAAATGGGAAAAAACAGAGGAATAATAATGCCGAGAAAAACCGTGACTTTCATGTGGGCGATTTCGTGTGGGGTAAAATCAAGAGCCATCCATGGTGGCCCGGCCAGATATACGATCCGAAGGATGCCTCGGAAATTGCCGTCAAACACAGCCAGGAGGGCCGTTTACTGGTGGCCTTCTTCGGGGATGGTTCCTGTTCTTGGTGCTCGCCTTCTCAGCTCGTGCCCTTTGTCGACAATTTCAAACGAATGTCGAATGGAAGCTCGAGTAAAAGCTTCCATAATGCAATACATTGTGCTTTGAACGATTTGGCAAGGCTCGTTGAGCTCAGCGTGACTTGCGAGTGTGTGCCTTTGGATAAAAGAGATGGGCTCGCTCGACCCATCGTGTCTAATGCTGGGATAAGGAAAGGAGTTCTTGTGCCGAATGTTGAGATTGGCCGAATTAATGTCCCTAATTATGGGTCAACTCATGTTCTTGATAAATTGATGAGTTTTGCCAAGTGTGATTCGTTTGACTCGTTTTTGGAGCTTGCAGTCTTGAAATGTTGGCTTTCCGCATTTTATCGTTCTAGGGGTGGTCAGAAGTTGCCCGTTTACCAAGAGCCCGTTTGGATTGAAGGGCTCGAGGATAAGAACAAATCCGTGAAGGACCTGTCTGGTGAAGATTTTAGTGTTCCGATCGCGGTGCCTATTCTGGGCCCACAGAAAAGTGTTGCAGAGCTTATGGGAAAGAGAGCCAAAGAGAGCATTTTGGATGAAGGTAAAAGTGAGGATAGAGTGAAAAATGGTTCTTTATCTAGAAAACAGAAGGAAAATGAAGTTGGAGAAGGTGAGAATATTTCGTGTGATGAAATTCAAATGATATATTCACGGAGGGAAAGGAAAAAGAGCAAGTATCTGTCTCCTCCTTATACGAATCCCAGCGTTAGTCTTGCGAATTTCGGGTCTAACATGAAATCGGGCTCTGACAAATCTACCAAGAGAGACCATTCTAACGTGAAATCGCGCTCTGATAAATCAGTTGATGATGAAGCATTTGATGGGGAACTGACTACTGCTCAACTGAAAGATCTAGACACGAGTAATCAGAAATCGAGCTTTTTATCATCTGATGTTTATCTTCAAGGGGATGAGTTGCTGTCTGAAGTCCCTGTTAATCCTCTGTACCTGAGCAAGAAGAATTCTCTTGATCCGATCTGTTCATTTATATCTGCAATCAGAAGGTCTGCATACTTTCAAACCGGGGGAAAGAAAAGAAAAACATTGAAAAATCAAGAAAATGGTGACACACCAAAAAAGGCAAAAAAATCAGCTGATGACTCGAAAATGCCCAAAGCAGTGAAAAAGAAATCTGAAGGGAGAAAGGCTCGTGCTGAAAACAGTGCAAAGAACTTTGAAGGAAGTGCCTCAACGTGCCTCATTGTGACGTTCTCTCCTCGATTTCCACTTCCCAACAAGGAACAAATCGTGAGGCTCTTTGGTAAATTCGGCAGACTTAATGAGAAGGAAACAAAAGTGTTTGCCGAGTCTCATGCTATCCGTATCGTCTACACGAAGGAATCTGATGCTGAAATAGCTTTTATATTGTCCGTTAGAGAGAGCCCATTTGATGTAGAAAATGTTAATTACTGGTTGAAGCATTCTTCTTCGGGCGGCAAACAATCCGAGCCCTTGATTTCTGCACGGGCTTATGTTAAACCGTGCTCTTCTCAACCGGTGGATGAATTTATGGTGGATGTAAGGGCAATCAGGCAAAAGCTCGAGATAATGAGTGCTATTCTGGAAAACTACCACCCCAAATTTTTGAGTGAGGAAAAATCAGGCTTGAAAGATGACGTGAAGCAGCTGATGGAGAATGTGGAGACGTTTAGTGACAAGGTGCAATTGATGGCTGAGAATACCATTACCACTTCTTGAAGATCGTTCGAAACTATTAAGTGTGGGTTCTTTTTGTGGATATTAACAAAGCCGTTGGTGTGTTCAGTTCTTTTGAGTAGCATATTTCTTTGCAGCAACGTTTCATCGAGACGATTAGGTGCTGATTCAGTTCGTATCGTTTGGAGTAGAGTTCTTTAAGTGGTTTATTGCAACAGAGCTTTTTCTTTTTTTCCTTAGTTTATGATGAATGTGACTTGCAGTTTGAACTTTTTATCAACGGTCATTGCAGTTTTATATTTTGGTATTGTTACTCAGGCTGCATAGAAAAAACTAGAAAAAATACACACAAAAAACTCTTAAAAATGAAAAGTAGAGTACAAATAACCTTTAATCACTCATTATGACACCTTTGTGTTCTCAACATTAGCTGACAAAGTTTTACATTCGATAGCTCGAAAAATCGAGGCCTATCGCTGCTGCACGAAGCTGCCTCGATTATCGAGCTCGAGCTAATTCCTACCTCACTAGCCAGCTTCTCGAGCTCGTTTTCTTGCTCGATCACCTTATCAAAGCAAACGTACCTTCCGCAACCGCAACCCATCTTCATCTCCTCAAAAACGGCAACATGAGCCTTTGCTAATTTGTTTACTTCGACTGTAGCAAGCAATCCGTATGCATACATCTCGCGAGCTCGTTTGAGGTAAGCAATTGTGGATGTCGGGTTTCTTTGGTAAAATTTCGAGCCCGTGATAAGCCCGGGACAAATGGCGGCTAGCTTTAGTCTGCTTTCTTTCGCGATTTTCCATGCGGCCTTTTCGGCCCTCAGCTTCCCCAAAGCATACCAAAGCTGAAATATAAGGAAAAATAAAGAGAGAGCTCAAAACTTTAATGGTCGATTGATTGTAAAATACTGTTGTAATCGAACCGAACGAGCCGAGTTTGGGCATTTCTAGCTCATGTTCGTTTAGGTTCGAGTATTGTTCTTTTTTTTTCGAGCAAAAAATCGTGTTCGAGTCCGTGCGAGTTCGAATAATTCAGGACACAAACTTTTTAAATATGTTTAATTAATTCGAAATCTATTTGCTCCATCTCGTTTGAACTCGAAAGTAAAAAAATAAAATAAAATATTTTGTATTCTAGATTTTTTTAATTAAAAATATCAAGTAAATATACGAAAAATAAAATAAAATAAAATTATCATAAATTAATGTCCGTGTATATCAAAGAAACATTCGCGAACAAGCTCGTATTCGTTCGATCATTAAAACGAGCCTGATTTTCAGATTGAACTCGGCTCGATTAACAAACGAACAAGCTTTTGTTCACGAACGTTGAGTTCGTTAACAGCCTTAATGCGTCTATATCAAACTTTCTGCACTGTACCTTTTTGTTTATGCAGACGGATTCATCGCTCCATGTCTTGTGGTCAATTTGATGGAGAATTTGTTCATTCGACAAATTCTCCCGCCAAATGCACGTCAAGAGAGATGACGTCAGCACACAAAAGCAAACAGAGGACGAAACTCCACATGCCTTCACCACGTTCTTGGTGGCCTTCACTTCAACATCAGCCATAGCTTTCTACAAAAACGTATAATAATACATTTTTAACAGAGAGAATTATTCCAAGCAATAGCATTTTTACAGTTGCATTTATGAGATCAAACTATACAAAATCAACTATTACAGCAAAGTTTTACCTTCAAAATAGTCATAAATGGTTTGTCTCTACACAAATAATCTTTTCATCATAATGCCACAAATCACTATGGACCACTCGAGGTCTAATACAATGAGGTTTCCTCTTTCATCTTCGTAATTTTGTCATAAATGGTTTGTCTCGACACAAATGTCTTTCTCAATAATGGAGACATCACTATGGACCACTCGAGTTATAATCCGATGAGTTCGTCACCATTCACTGACTAGCTATCAAATGATATCCATACATTTGAACTACTCACTAGACATTTCTCAAATTGTCACTCGAAATTCTAAACGAATACTCCTAATATAAACTTACCGAGTAACCGGACAGTCCGGTGGGGTCCACAAATGCAGCCGTGTGAAAAACTCCACGGCAACCCTCAAAAGCCTCGACGAGGCTCTCGACTTTGGTGAGATCGACCATAGCAACCTCGACGAGGCTTCGGTTGGGTCGCATTTCACCGGAAATCTCCATTTCACTTAATTTCTCCACATCCTCTGCATTTAAGAAGGAATTCTTTAGACTGTAAACGAAAATATATGGAATAAAAATTGTACAAAACTATTACTCTGAGAAAATGTATTGATAAGATTGAATATAACAAAGTGAGACATAAAATATTGTGATGGTTTAACAGTCATTTTCTAATAAGTCTTACCTCCAATCAGAAATGAATATATTATAGGGAAAGGCTACGGTCTCGTTACGGAACCATTCCGTCAAGATTTGTAATCGTATATCTGACGGTTATATAATGATCTAACGGTTAAAAACCCCGACCCCGACGAAATGGTTCCGTAACAGGGTTGTAGCATTTCCATATGCTAAATATCAAGTGTCGGCAAATGTTTTTGCAGAAAAAAATAAAATTAGACGAATGTTTTTTTTATTTTTTTACAATGTCAAAGAAGAAGGGTATCATTTTTTCTAAAAAACTTTGAAGTCAATTAACACCCGCACACGCAACAGAGTGACTACTTTAGTACTTGCAATTGGATTTTTGTTGTTGATCCAAAAATTTATTCAATTAAAATAAAAATAAAACACCAAAAATGCAAAAAATTAAAGTAATATTATAACTTCATTTAACATTTTCCTTACAAATTCCACTAACATAATTTAAAAATAAAATAAATATTTTATTATTACATATTTTTTAATCAAAAATATATATTTGTCTATTCACACATTTTTTTTTAACTATAAATATTACTAATTAATATTTTTGTATTTTAAATTAAATCAAGTGTTTACCTTCATTGTCGACCAAAATCCGCACGGAGTAGCCGCCGACCAGAAGCTGGTTCACGATAGCAATTCCGAGGTATGATACGCCGCTGGTTACGCAAACCATTCTGTCCAATACGTCGCCGTTTCGAGCCGGCGGCGCATCCTCGCGGGCCCCAAATCCCTCATCGTCCTTCCGCCGGTGCACCGCCGCGCGGGACAGCAGCATCCGCCGGAATTCCTCGAGCTCCGCCTTGTTAGTCTCCTCCAACACCAATATGCCCATTGTTAACCAGTCAAACCAGCTAATGGAAATGGATTTTTATTTTATATTTTTTTTCAATTTTTGGTGGATTTATT